AATATATGTACTACAGACACTAGACAGTCTTATGAATCAGACAGTGTATGATATAATCAGGGATCAATATAAAATATTATTAATATATTCAATATATTCAATATAATCAATATATTCATTATATCCCTGATATAATGAATATATTGATTTCAGTGATTGTGTTGTTATTCTTCACTCACCAGGTACATGATGTGCATCAGTCAGTATGTGAAGGGACACTAGACCAGAGAGTACTTGAGAAGTACTGCAGACTAATAAGTTACTGATCTCAATTGAACAAGGTGACTTGTATAGACTTGCAACACTGGACACACCAGAAATACAAAGCAGGTCTACCTTGAGGGACGTGTGAACTAATGGGGCGTGGTTTAAAGGTGTGACCAGCTCAAAAATTAATACAATAATTAAATTTATATACATGCACTGTTATATGTTCATTTCAATCAAAATTGAATTTTTACAAATTTTTAAAGCTACTCTAAAATTGGGCCAAAGTCCCTGTAATAGTACAGGGTCATTGGCCAAATTTCCCCGAAATTGAAAACTAAAGAATTGTCAATTTTTATGATATTTTTTGATGCATATATATGTTTTTATGTTGCGTAGAAAGTTTGAGCTCATTCTGATCAAATTTGGATTTTTTACAAATTTTTAAAGTTACTCTAAAATTAGGCCAAAGTCCCTGTACTATAGTACAGGGTCATGCCAAATTTTTCCAAAATTGAAAATTAAAGAACTGTCAATTTTTATGATATTTTCTGATACATATACTTGTTGTCATGTTGCATAGAAATTTTGAGCTCATACCAATCAAAGTTGGATTTTTTACAAATTTTTTAAATTTCTCAAAAATCAGGTACTTCAGTGCAGGAGCTTTGGTCAAATTTTGCCAAAATTTAAAAGTACAGATTTCTCAATTTTTATGATATTCTCTGATGCATATATATGTTTTTATGTTGTGTAGAAAGTTTAAACTGATTCCGTTTAAAATAAAATTTTTTATAAATTTTTAAAGGTAGTCCAAAATCAAATCAAAATCCCTGTACTATAGTACAGCGTCACTGGCCAAATTTTACCAAAATTAAAAAGTCAAAGTTTTTCCATTTTTATAATTTTTCCTGATGCATATACATGTACTTATGTTGTCTAGAAAGTTTGAGCCGATTCCGATCAAAATTGAATTATTTACGAATTTTAAAAGTTACTCAAAAATTCAGCTTAAATACATGTACTGTAGTACATGGTCTTTGGCCAAATTTCCCTTTAAAATAATTCACTTTTTAAATTACATTTCCTGATACATGTACATGTATCATATACTGTAAGAGGGAGGAAGACTTTGTATAGGACATTCCTATCAAATTTCAATACCTCTCCCCTTACTGTAGCATGTGAACTATTCTACCATTCATCTTTATGCCTTATGTACTGTAATGTACTGCTATACTGAGGAATATATTGTGTATTATTAATGTACAATGATTCCAGTGCTTGATACAGCATGAATAGGGTCCAAATATCAATAATCATGAATGTTTATAAAAGGTACACACATACACTTGCCTTGTCTTACATACATTGTTGGTTTATTCTGATCACTAATACCAACAATACTCCTCATATCATCTCCTGTATGTATATAAACTCTACATAAACAGAAAGCATTTGGACTTAGCCATGGCTATGTTTACTGAAAGGAAATGTTATGATAAACTTTAAAGATAAAGGGACAACATGATCCATTAAAATATTCACCTAATAAATATAGTCAGATGATATTATACACTATATCATACACTAGCTACTATTACTACTACTAGCATAACTGCTACTACTGAAGAGTTGGCATAGGGCATAGCTATCACATTTCTCTATACCTCTTCCCCTCATTAAAGTATAATGTCAATAATGCTGTTATTTCCTTCTCTGTTACTACTTACATATTCCTATCATATTGTCTCATCTTACATGCCTAGTCATAGCATTGATGTGACATATAATATAGCAGGAAGAGAGTGGGTGAGAGGTGGGATGAAGAGAAAGGGATGATCTAGAGATCAGAGGAAGAGAGAGAGAGAGGGGGGTGAGCCATAAAGTGCTGTAGATTGCCATCAGTATGTAAACTAAGTACTTGTTATGAGCTCTGACAATAACATAGCCATAGTGATAGAATACCACTAGCTGCTATAGAATACTGCTACTAATAGTATAACTGCTACTACTGAAGAGTTTGTATAGGACATAACTATCACATTTCTCTATACCTCTCCCCCTCACTATAGTATATGTGAATAAAATGCTGTTATTTCCTTCTCTTCTGTTACTATTTACATATTCCTATCATATTGTCTCTTCATTACTAATACATTATATACCTAATCATAGCATTGATATGTCATATAGCAGGAAGAGAGTGAGTGAGAGGTGGGATGAAGAGAAAGGGATGATCTAGAGATCAGAGGAAGAGAGAGAGGGGGTGAGCCATAAAGTCAGTGCTGTCTAATTCTGATAACAGATAGATTACCATCATGAGTTCTGACAGTAACATAGCTATAGTGATAGAAAGGGGAGGAAATGTGATATACCTGTTTACCATTATATGTACACAGTTGAATAGTTTGTATAATGTTATCCTACCCCTCCCCATTCACTATACCCTCTCTCTCTTTAAGGGCCACTGTTATTTCAATAGCACATATTTAGCACTCATGTCACAAGTAGCCTACAGATGTGATAAAGCTAGCTGTTTAACATAAAAAAAGAAATATTAGCATCACAATAACTAATAAAAAACTGGTCTATAAAAGGTACAAAAATTAATCTGTGATCATATAAAACTCAGCCTAGTTTAGATTAATTAATTAATACACTTAATACTAATAGTTTCTTTCAATGGTTCATGCATCCTCATGCATCATTTCAAGCGCTGTAGTACAAACCTGGCACACGAGACAGCTGCAAATGGTTGCCACTTCTTGTCTTTTTCTTCTGTTCCCCAGTCGACAATAGCTTTTATTACAATCCATTCAAATCCTACTCTCTCAGCAGCTTTATGAATACCTTTTGCCTCCATTTCTCCTCCAAGTGCTCCTTGGACACTTTTTAGTTTCTCTTCCTTTGCTTCTTTGCTACGAAACAGTGTGAATTCAGAGGCCAGAGAACCTTGATGATGAACTTTAACGGCTTTACCTTCAATTTCAAAGACTTCGTGGTGTTTGAACTTTTTTAAAAGATTCCTTCCACAATGGTACTCGGTAGCTAAAACGATTGTATCTTTTCCTTCAATACGCTGATGTGCAGTGTCGATAATACTTTTGGCAACAATAATATCACCTAAATTTGTTTTATCACTGAGTTCCTCAGTTTTGCTCTCCTTTGCTCCATAGCATATCCCAATAGCAATGACAAAATCAGCTTTTACGTCATTTTGTACTGAAACAAGAATATCTTCAGTCTCATCTGGGCCCTGGCCTGTCCTAGTTATTGCTACATTACACGACCCATACTTCCCCAGGATAAAATTCCCAGTTTCATCTGTTGTGATAACTCTAATATATTTACCATCACCTCCAGGAGGATCGATTGAACCCATCACAGCACAGTATTCTATGGTTGTGGCAGTCGCCAGAACGTAACGGACCTTTGATATAAACTCTTTCTCTCCTTCGGTCAGCTCTTCAATTGTTTTCATCTCAATTTTTCGCTCAATGTCCTCCAGTTTTGGGCAATATTTGCTGACATCAGGAGGTGGATCTGATTCTATTGTACATGTTAATTAGAAACTATCAAATTATTCTAACATACTTTGCTCATCACTTTTACTCTTGTCCTCACCAGCTGCTGCACTATCAACTGGTTCTCTGTAAATACAATAGCAGATTCATTAATTGGAGTCAGTAAAAGACATTTACTTTGAATCAATCTTTTGCTTTTTAGCATTTGCTTGTGCTGTCCCCTTGCTTTCTGCCAAGCCTTCTTTGCCTGATATGAAAAGAATAATGTTTTATTATAATTATTTTAAAGTATTAAAAATTAATAATTATGATTAATTCTTACCTATATATTCCAGAAGATTAGCCTTTGTTTTACCCAGTTTATCAGGATAGTCATCACAGAGCTTTATTAATTCATCCCAAGTGCGATTATTTTTAGCTTGAAACCACCTCTGGAATACAATATTAAGATAGGTACTTGCTTGTCCTGGCATTGGCATCAGATCAGACACATATACACCCAGTCCAGTCCCTATTGTCATGTAATGGTTAGCAGAAGAATCAAATATTTTTAGGACTGCTGCCAGAGTACACTCTTTGCCTATAACAATAAGATAGGATATAATGTTGTTAGATTATCTTATCAAGCAAACTGTCATAATTATTATTTGACCTCAGTTAAAAGGCTATACAGCTGCAATAATATGCACATCTTGTCAATTAAATTCACACTATAGCATCTGACTTATGTAGCAAATTGTGTATTACTGCCATTACTTTTTAGTTAATTGGCTTTGTGTTCCATTGGTTTATATTGATCACAATGCATCACATCAAGTCACAACTAATGTGTGCTATGCATAATTATTGATAAGCAGTGACTTGAAACCACTCCAGTGTGAACACAATCAGGCCGGCTCTGGTATATAATATGCAGCTACTTTTAAAGGACCTTAACTTGTGAATGGATCAAACACTCAGTTATACATGGGGAGCTATAACTAGAACTAAACCAACAGCTTTTACTGGCAGTAACAAGAACTAGAACTATTCTTGATACAGCATAAAAAAGGGACAAAAACTATTTGCAATTCTTGCACCTCTA